ACTTTCAAATGGTTGTTTGTATTATCCAAGGGTTATTTGTAAATCTTTTTGGTGGCTACTTGTAATTCCAATCCTATCCTAAATAAATTAACTAAAAATGGAAATGAGATTTAATATTGAACTTTTGAAAAACTTCCAGGAGGTTTTTTCTAATTTTCAAAGTTATCGGAGGATTGCTTGTAATATTTTTAATGTTGATAATAGAAGTAACATTAAGGACCTTGTTTGACTTTAAAGTTTAAGAATTCAAATGAAATTTGGCTAAAATATTAAAGACATGTATCTAGAGGTGTGCCATGGGTCGGGTTGGCCCGTGGGTTCTGATCAATTTGGTCTAGCTTGCCCAGCCTGCTGCAGGTCGTAACCCTACCTAACCTATTTATTATCGGCCCCAACCTAAACAGGGCTCCATCCAGACTATAAGCCGACCCAAGTACCTTGGTCCAGGACCTAGACTCGGACCCAGCTCAGTCTGGTCTTGCGGCTCACGGACAAAGAGCTACCATAGCTCCACATTTTACATTATGCCCCATTCATAATATTACATTACATCCAACAATTATTCATTGCACTCATATTACGTATAAAAAAAATAAAGTAACAAATTATAGAGAGAGAAGGAATAAATCATGAAAGATCTCATAGCTCAAGTCTATGTCTGAAACATGAGACCTTAATGGCTTAATAGTTGGTACACTCAGAAACATCAATCATCTCAATATTTAGAGTTTAAAATAATTAAAAAGTAAATTAAATATAATCAAACAATTATTAATACAAGAGATATAACTAAATAATAGTAATTAAAAAGAGAAAAAGAAATGCCAAACCCATGGGTCGCCTCGCGACCCAAACCAGTGTGCGCAGGTCCAACCCGATTTAGACCTATGCATACCGTGGGCAGGCTGGGTCCATGACCACATCTCGGACCATGATCCTCGGTTCAAACCAAACTAACTAACATGGTCCAGGTCCAACCCGGTGTGGTAGAAACCCGAGCAGTCCGGGTCGCGGGTCTAGGCCGACCCAGCCCATGCCTACTCCAAGGGGCAGATCCACATGATTGGTAGGGGTGCAGTTTCACCCCTAGCAATCTAAAATTTGCATTCCAAAGACATTAACAATTACAGTATGCCCCCGATAGTTTTAAAGATTTTGCACCCCACCTTGAATTTTCAAACAGTGGGCATTTAACATTTATAGATTTGTAGCCTAATTTCATTAATCTCTTTGAAATAATAAGATGTCCATTGTCACCTCGGTAAATAAATACTTATCATTTACCCCTCTAAGGAAATTTTTCTGGATCCACCACTGCCCACACCCACCCCTATGTTTATCAAACTTTTCCCCGTTACTATGTGAACCTAATCTTTTATCTGCATACTAGATTTTAAGGGGTTTTCAATGTATTGGTCCTGCAAAGCATAGATCATTTGAAATAGGTTCTCCGAATGACGTTATCATGAGAAATGTCCCTAAAATATAAAAACAATAATAGAAAATAATTGTATTTTATTAAAAAAATATTTAGATAATCTTCAAGATGATAGTAATACTCTAATGAGTTTAGAGGAGCGGTATGAATATATAAAAATAAGGGCATCTAGTCATTTTGAGAGTTGTTTGGAATAATTAAAAATTTTTGAAGTTACATGAAAATAAATTTTTATGAATTTCTAAGAAAGTAAGATTTTGTGGGAATATCTTAAAGTTAATTTATAAAAGTAATTTTGAAGCTGAAGTTTCGAATGTTGTCGTAGTGCCAAAAGTGAAGGCCAAAAGTGCGAGGAAGGTGGAGACAGTCCAAGAGGTACCCAACAGTGGCTTTTTGGGGCCCTATAGGTTGTTTATGCAGTTTTTTCTTTATTTATTTTATTGTCATGTAGATTTGTTTAAGGTAATCTAATTGAGGAGGTTTATTATGGTATGTGCTATACTTTACCCACTTAAGGTGCAGAATTTTCAGAAAGCATAAGGTGCTATACTTTGCCAATAAGGTGCTATACTTTGCTAATAAAGTGCTATACTCTGCCATATAGTGCTATACTTTGGCCAAAAGGTGCTATACTTTCCCATAATGTGCTATACTTTACCCAGAAGCTTCAAAATTGCGCGAGGACCCCCCGTCGTGGTGGATGATTGGTCAATAAACACATCACCTAGGTCGTCGAGTGGTTTCATCGCGGCGAAAAAAACTGATTTGATTTACGACACTTAAGGTGCAGAATTTGCAGAAAGCATAAGGTGCTATACTTTTCCAATAAGGTGCTATACTTTCCCAATAAAGTGCTATACTTTGTAATATAGTGCTATACTTTAGCCAAAAGGTGCTATACTTTCTCATAAGGTGCTATACTTTGCCCAGAAGCTTCAAAATTATGCAAGGACCCCCCGTCGCGGTGGATGATTGGTCAATAAACACGTCACATAGGTCGTCGAGAGGTTTCGTCATGGCGAAAAAAACTGATTTGATTTTAGACACTTAAGGTGCAGAATTTCCAGAAAGCATAAGGTGCTATACTTTACCAATAAGGTGCTATACTTTGCCAATAAAGTGCTATACTTTACAATATAGTGCTATACTTTGGCCAAAAGGTGCTATACTTTCCCATAAGGTGCTATACTTTGCCCAGAAGCTTCAAAATTGCGCGAGGACCCCCGTCATGGTGGATGATTGGTCAATAAACACGTCACGTAGGTCGTCGAGTGTTTGCATTGCCCTAAAAAAACTGATTTGACTTATCACAATAAGTTGCTGAATTTCCAGCGACCATAAAGTGCTATATTTTATCGATAATGTGCTATACTATTGCCATAAGGTGCTATACTTTATAATAAGGTGCTATACTTTATCAATAAGCTGCTATACTTTCCCATAAAGTGCTATACTTTATCAAAATCTAAAAATTGAGCGAGTACCCCTCGTCGAGGTGGATAATTGGTCTTACGACACATAATATTGCCCAATAGGCTGTAGTTAACACAACCTACCATCAAAATTTCTTCAGTTCAATCAGTGCATCAGTTCATTACAGATATTCATATCTATCAACCACTAAACTCAAGCACATAACATTGAATGAAAATAATCCATGAAGATTGAATGGAAATAATCCAAAATCACCACTATCGAAACGTTGTATACATTTCTACTAGATACATTTCTACTAGTTACACTGATAAATTTGATACAACATGATACATTGGATAGTGCATTTGATACAATATGCACACAAATCATCTATATATACATAATATAGAAAATTTCATACAACACGATACATTGGATACTACTTGGTACATCATATTGCAGGCTGTAGTTGATTTGCCGTTTGGGTTGCAATGTGACAGCAATGCGAAGATCTGATCGAATGCCAATAGTGGGGGATTCTCTCATGTATTTGATTGGAAAGTTAGTGTGCATTGACGAATGGTTTCTGATTGAGGGGTAGCTGTGCGTTACGTTAGGTGTGCCATTGATGATGGAATATATGTATCCCACCATAAAAATGTTACAATCTACGCTCCTGCACAAATAAATGTCACAATCAACGATTGCATGATAATTTTTTTTTTATTAACTGTCAATTCTAACTTATCGTGCATTTCCAAAGCAAAATACATGAAAGTAATATCGAGAAATGCTAGCATAAGAGGCTTCATACCACTTTCAAAGGAATCATCTATACGCTTTTATGCAATATCAATTCTAACTTATCGTGCATTTCCAAATCAAAATACATGAAAGTAATATCGATTTTGATGTCGTAATGCTTCGAATTATCAAAACCCACAAGAACAATAAGAATCTGAAGGACCACCAAGCAATAAGAAAATTAGAATTTTTATGTTACAACTCGTCACCATTCCCAACACCAACAAGTAAGAATAATCACCTAGTAACTTTGTACGCTTGCAAAAAGAGGGAGGATTTTCACATCAATCATCAACTCTAAGGAAAATTCTATTCATAAATGCAAGCAAGAACTATACTGACTTGCAATGGAGAACAACATAACCCACCTCCTTCTGCCGAACCCACTTCCTTTGAGCGCCAAGGATCCTCACCATCGTCGTCGGCTTATGCGAAAGCAGCTCCTTACAAAGCCAAGCGGTCTTCGACCTCCGCCATTACTACGAGTGCTCCTCAAGCTCCGTCCACTGGCGAGAATGACAAGTGCTTCAGGTTGATGGGCGAACTACAGGGAGTCAATGTCGAAATCATTGGTGGGCTATTCATCTATTTCAAGGTCGACGGTGGTGGGTGACGTGGCGGCGAGGGGAGATAGGGGCAGTGGATGCAGAGGTTGATGGGCTTGAGGGAGGAGGGGAAGTGAAGGGAGGGAAGAGGAGGAGGAGGGGAGAGGGAGAGATCTCTTCTGAGCTCAGATGGAGGAGGAGGGGAGAGGGAGAGATCAGTTGGGGATGAAGGGTAGTTTAGGATTTTTCAAATTTTTTGGATAAATACAGTACAAATAATGGGTGTATTGTACATTTGGGTTTAAAAATAAGTGGGATGTGATATAGTGGGTCTATTGATGTTTTGAAAAGTGAATGGGTTTTTAAATAAGTTGGAGTAAAACTTTGGGTTAAAAGAGGATTTTCCCTTTTTTAAAATATGAGAACTTGTCAGGAACAGTTTCAAACTTTTATATTATTATATTATATAGTGACATCACTTTTTAAAAATCCCGGATCCATCACTGCTAGCCAGACGCACCTTTTCAAGCTATACTACTTCTCCAAACAATTTTATCAAAATCAGAATGCATAACATCTGCTGTTTAATTTTCTGGGAATGCTACAGTATCCCGCTCTGCTACAGTACCTTTTAGACGCTACAGTATACCAGTGCGCTACAGTAATATCTTTTAATTAATTATCTGCTACAGTAAATTTACTGTAGCATTTACTGTAGTATGAACAGTGACTCTCTGGTTCTCCCTTTTGTATAAAGGAATAGATTTAGGTTTGGGCTAATGGAGTGATTCCACAGATCAATAGAACGTTTAGGTACTCCCTTCGGCCTTCGAAATGAACAACAGTAAAAAGAAAACCGAAGCTCTCGATGGCTCATCATCGGAGGTCGATGACCTCCTCCGAGCTGCAGAAGACCATCTTCTACTCGATCTCCGCCTCAATTCTCACTCCAAATCCCAAATCCCTTTCACCTCCTCCTCCTCCTCCTTAGATTCCGACCTCGCTCGCCGCTTCGACGCGCTCAAATCCCCTTCAAGCTCTGACCCTAGCTTCACTCCTCTGAAAAAACCGTCACCATCAGAGGGGGAATTGAGCGGGATTCTCGGGGATGATCTCGACGCGAGATTCGCTGCCCTTAAGGGCTCTGTAGGGGCGGCGGCGGCGGCGGCGCCTGATCTAGGGCTTGCAGGAGTGTCAGATGGCGGGAAATTTTATGAAGAAAGTGATGATGGTGATGATGACGGGGGTAGAGACGGGGATGGAGTGTCGAAGAAGGAAGTGGAGAAGCTGCTGCAGTGGGCTAAGGACGCGGCTAGGCTTGATCCCTCATCGAAAGATGATGATGACGAGATTGATGATGATGATGTCTCTGAAGATAATGATGATGATAGTGATGATTCAGAGCAGGAAAGGATTAACGAGAAGAAGATGAAGAGCAAAGGGAAGCCGAATAGGTTTATTTTCTTCTAGTTTGCTACTTTTCTTTTTTGTGATAATCGATATATATAGCGAGGGATGCTTTCTGTGCTATGCCTATGTCCGCATCTGTGGGATCATGGCTATAAACTTCCCAAGTTAATGAACATCTCCGTGACATCTTTTAGTCTGAGACTCAAAGTTATCAGAAAATTTGAGTTCTCTGCTGAAACCTTATGCTATATAGTTCTGCAAGCTACTCTTCAACAGTTGTTCATTATGGGGCACTGTGTATATTCACATGTTGTCTGCTAGAGTGCTTAACGTTGCTAGAGTTTATGCTGTGAATATTTTCGATTATTTCCTTTCTTATGTGATTTATGAATATTTTTCATTCTCAAACCTAATACTTTATGAACTTCTGCTAAATTTGCTTATGTTCTTAGTCTGGATAACTTTCCATAAGTTTTGTTTCTGAATTATTCTCAAACAATGAGCTTGAGAGAATGATACAAAAGAAGCCCAGTATCCTAATTCCTGCATCGTACCTTGATGCCTTCCGGCTAGGGGTGCATTCGGTTCGGATATGACACTTATCATAATAACCATAGTAACTTTCTGAAAACGAATACGGATACGGTTCAGATATTCATCGGTAAGAAAAAAGCATTATCATATCCACATTAAACGGAAACAGATACGGTTCGGATATTAGAGAGTCGGATACGGTTATGATACGAATACTAATCGGATATTTGGGAAATAGATATGAATATGATATAAAGAAAATACAAATGATTTTAATAACTCACAAAGTAAGACAAGTTACCTTATAGACTTTGTTGCTATTCTGTATGACAAACCTCAGAGCACCACAGCAGACCCTAAACAAAAAATAAAAAATATTGAATACCATAACTAAAAGGTGATAATCAACAACTATAACTGACCTCACAAACTACAACTTACCTTAAATGAACCATTTGATGTCAGAGGTTGATGGGCTTGGGGGAGGAGGGGAAGTGAAGGGAGGGAAGAGGAGGAGGTTGGTGGTAGTGGTTGAGGGGAAGTGAAGAGAGGGAAGAGGAGGAGGAGGGGAGAGGGAGAGATCTCTTCTGAGCTCAGATGGAGGAGGAGGGGAGAGGGAGAGATCAGTTGGGGATGAAGGGTAGTTTAGGATTTTTCAAATTTTTTGGATAAATACAGTACAAATAATGGGTGTATTGTACATTTGGGTTTAAAAATAAGTGGGATGTGATATAGTGGGTCTATTGATGTTTTAAAAAGTGAATGGGTTTTTAAATAAGTTGGGGTAAAACTTTGGGTTAAAAGAGAATTTTCCTTTATTTTATTGTCATGTAAATTTGTTTAAGGTAATCTAATTGAGGATGAGATTGTTTTGGGTGTGAAGGGATTAAATAACTGGGGAAGGAGGTGGTTGCTTTATTTTCCTGCCGGCTTGAGCTATGAAGAGTACAGATAGGATTTGGTGTTTCCGAAAAGATGTTTTTAGTTTTTTATTATACGGTTATTAATGTTTGCTTGTAGAACACAAGCTACTATACTGATGGGAGAATTGGTCGTAAGATCCAAATTCCTTCAACTATACACAATGAGGATTATTTGCCAACTACCACATGCATGGGCCATGGCCTCACTTTTCTTTCACCCAATAAACCTCCTCAGTTATTATAAGCATCTATTTTTTACGGATTTTTCTAAAGAGCGTTTTAAAGATAATGCTTAAATATTTAACACTCTTAACTAATCTCAAGTTTCCATTAATTAATTTTGAAAGGAATGATTGAGTTTCCTCAATACTCAAAGCAAGCGCGCAAGATGTAAAGAGGTTACACCCTATTTAAGTCAGAAAGTTAATTATATGGGTGGGAGGATATTTGGGAGGAGTTGGTCCCTTAATCTCTCGAACTCTCACTCTCTAATCCTATTTATAGATTACACAAATCAATATTAGCCCTTAGATCAAACTTAGCCTCAAAAGTTACACAATTTTAACATTTAATTTGTAATTCTATCAACTAGGTATCCTCAAAAGTTACACAATTTTAACATTTAATTTGTAACTATCAACTAGGTATCGATACAAGTATTGATATAGATATTAATACTAGTATCGATACCACTATCGACATAAGTGTCAATACTTGTATCAATACAGGTACTGATACTTCTTTGATTTTAATTTTTGCTGAAATTCTTGGGCTCTTTTTTTGGGGCTTCTTTTAGGCTTCAGTCAGAGTTCTTTTGGGCTTGATGTAATCTTCATTTAAGCTCTTATTTGCCAAATTATTCATTACATGCAAATTAAGATAAAAAATTATCAGCAGATATATTTATTCAAATAAAATAGATAACGAGGGTATACAATGTAATTAAATATAATAATCGAATATCCCCATACCTAAGCTTTTGTTAGTTCTCTAGCAAAATAAATAAATAATACAAATAAAAATTAAAAATAAAAAAATAAATCCTAACTTAGTCTTGCAGGAATCACAGTTATATTTAGCACATACAACAAGCCTTTAAACCCCTAGGTTATCCTAGAGGACGAGTCTTGCAGGAATCGCAGTTATATTTAGCACATACAACAAGCCTTTAAACCCCTAGGTTATCCTAGAGGACGAGTTGTATTCTCGTAAAGGTTTGCAATGAATAAACTCATAATATTCAGTCAATTTGCCAATTTGAAGAAGTCAATATAGAATTAATTCAGTTGATATCTTTAAACAATCTAATTAAATCTAATTTGTTTACTCAAAAAATATTTTTATGCATAACTCAAAAGTAAATTTCTTAGAAAATCTTTTCATTGTAGTTATGTAAAACTAAGTTTAACTTAGGGACTTTATTTCAAAATTCTGAAAAGAATACGCTAACCCTTTGTTTCAATCACTTCCCAAGTCTCTTGATCATTTTATTTCCTAAGAATATATATAGGAAAATATGATTCTAAGGAGTCATCTTAGATTGAATCTAAGGATGCACGTCTTAATGTATGGATAAGACTATTTCAATGGACGATCCGCTCCATTCATCATGATCTAAATACGTTAAAACATCTATAAAATAAAAATCATGATGTTTGAATATTTCTAACACATATTTTTCATTGTCTCTTTAATTGTGTTGTTGTAAAACCGTTAATTTTACTATCACTTAATGCATTAGTAACTACAACCTAATATACCTAATTTTTGGTTTATGTGCCATCTAAATCATTTAGATCAAAATGAACGGAGTGGATCAAGTAAATTGATTGCGTGTAATATAATTTTTAAAAGTGCATTCTTAGATTTAATCTAAGGTGGTTCCTTAGAATCATATTTCCAATTATATATATATATATATATATATATATATATATACATACATACATACATACATACATACATACATACATACATACATACATACATACGTACATACGTACATACATACATACGTACATACATACATACAGTTATGTGTAGGCACTAAAAATGCCAAGAGACAAAGGAGCGTCGAAGCTCACTACAAGCATGATGAGGATCATCACAATGACGAACCTCGTCTCGGTCAATGAGGGTTGTCTCAGCCTAAAGACAAGGCTCACAATGCCTTATCCTTTAGGAGACAAAGATCCTTTAGAAAACGAAACTCATCATTGAAGACGAAGCTCCTTTAGAAGATGAAATTCATTCAAGGACGAGGCTCGCCAAGCAGCAAGACTCATCTTATCAGACGAACCTCGCTACGTAGTGAGGCTTGTCTCATTAGATGAACCTCGTCATGTAGCGAGGCCCATCTCATTAGACGAACCTCGTTATACAGTGAGGCCCGTCTCATTAGACGAAGCTCATTATGCAACGGGGCTCATCTCATTAGACGAACCTCGCCACACAGCAATGCTCAACTCATCAATCGAAGCTCGATGCTAGAAGGCTAACAGCCATGAAGACCTAGTCAGCCTACATGGGCTAAAATTAGGGAGTCAGTTATGCTCCTGATCCCATGATCTCAGCATCAGTTATACACTAATGGACTATAAATAGCCGTGAGCATCTATGAATGATATAAGCACGTGGAGAGACACACTTAGATAGCGCTTAAAGAGCACTTAAACACACGTACATTAAGAACCAACATCAGCCACAAGCGTCGGCTCAAGCACTCGAAAGAGGCTATTTTCTCCTCGGATTTGAAGCAATCTTGCTCTGATCGTCAATGAGAAGTAAGCTCGATATGAGCATCGAGTGAGGTATCTCATTACCACATTGAACGCATGTTAAACAAAGGAGAAGTTGAATCAATCTTCTCATCTTCTGTACTTGAAAGAGAACGACTGTAAAAAGATTCTTACCAGGCGATAAAATCTCTTCTTACAACAAAAACAATTAGAGAATTAGTCATTTCCTATTTTTCAGGACTCTACAGAAGATGACAACCACAGTGGGAGATATCATTTTCTCGGAAGAAATGGTCATGGCACAGTCGGACAAGATTGCTATAGGAACTAACGTTGAAACCCTCATTATCGAGTTCGATCAATCTAAGTATGAGGAGCTCCTCTCCTCTTGTACTCCGAGTCCTACAAAAGCACACAAGTGCTGCAAAGTCTCTCGCGAGGCTCTAGACAATTAGCTTCTGACAACTCAACCCGAGTTTGCCTTGAGGAGAAATCCTCGCCTCTGACTGTTGAGGCTCTGAGAACCAGCTGTTAGGATAAGCAGTGGGTTGTTAAGCAACCCAAAGAAACCTCAATTGCTGTAGACCCATGGCCAATTTGCTGTCAAAAAGGGCAAGACGTTGTCGATGTTAGAATCAGGCTCGCCGTGAAGCCCCTGCCTTAGTCTCTCTGGATGACTTCCATTATCGGCCATAAGATGACATGGCTAAAGCTCGCAAGTTAGTCGAGACTCACCCAACTGAGGTGCATCAAAATGATGAACCTCACGCATAGTGCAAACCTCGTCATCACCGTTCGTGCATCCAAGTGTGCCCAAATGTCGAACATCATCTTCAATACAAGGTTCATCCAAGATGACAACTTCATCTCCCGAGCCAGATTCACCCCGCTGTCGAGGCTAGTAAAACTAAAGTGCACCCAGCTGACGAACCTTGTCTTCAACACAAGGCTCATCCAAGATGACAAGTTTGTCTCCCTATCCAATTCACCCCGCTGTCGAGGTTGGCCAAACTAAGGTGTGTCAAAATGACGAACCTCGCTACTAGCACAGAGCTCGTCCTATTACTGGGCCACCTTCAAGTTTCCAAGTCAAGGTTTGACTAAGACAACA